ATTCTTAATTCATACGTGACTATAGTTGTCACTCAGCTCCTCTAAACAAAATATATCACAACATACGCATGACTTCTACTCAATCATAAATTCTACATTACTGTTTGAAAATGAAAGAAAACATTTGAAAAATGAAATAAATTATATTAGGAGGAAAATGTGTATCCAAAATATCCATTATGAGATTATTTACTTTCCATAAAATTTACTTTCTCTTTATTTATTAAAATGATGTTAAATTCTATTTATATAGGCAATTTTTAAATACATTGAATTTGAAATTCTTTCAAATTATTTCAATTTTAATTTGTTTGCATATATCAATTTAAATTGATTGACTTTTGATTTTTTGTTTGGATATAGTATTTCAATTACTATCAAATAAAAACAAAATTTAAATGTTAAAAAATTACTTGATTAAAAGATTTCTCAGTCAACATTTAAAGAAAATGAAAAAAATTATAAACAATAACATTCATGTCGATGATAAAAAAAAAGTAATATCTATAGACATTGATTAAAAAAAATCATAACATACATCATAAAAGGAATCTAGTTCATATATTTCAAAAGATAGTTTCCTTTACATTATAGCTGATAAAATCCTAGTTAATATCCAATAGAAAATATATATTAGTGGTACATAACAGCAAAAATGATCCTAACAATTTAATTAAAAAAAATTATCAACATTAAAAGAATTCGTCCCAATAACATTTCGATCTTAACTATCAACTTCCAAACTAAAATTGAGATGAGAAAAAAAAAGCTTGAAAATATATATAATTTTAACTCCTCACCTTTTAGGTGAAATTTAAATCCTCTACTATCAAGAAACTCAATTATTCTCATAAATTTTAAAATTTTAATTTCTTCGAAAAAACAGTTATCCAAATAATGCATTTAATCATAAATTATTCCAAATTATTTATATAAAGGAATTTATCTTCCTCCTCCAAAACACTAACAGTATCCATTTCTGTTAATGGGTTTATCCCAAATTTTCCATTAATTTTTCCCCTACAAATTATATATTAACTGCATTACGTAAATTGGCGATGATTTTTGTTTATGAAATTTTGAAATTCGGTTTTGTTACACATGGCTCTGTGATTTCGGAAGGATTCTGCAAAATCGATAGGGGTAAGCTATGGCTCTGTGATTCCGATACAGGTTTTTTAATAACAGATATATTATTTTTTATTAATTTATTGTTTATTTGTTATTATGTTAATATATTTTAAATGTAATGAAAAACAATACGTGTCAAAATATTATAAAAAAAAATCTACATATATTTCAGAAGGATTTCTGTCAAGGGCTTTATTTTTTATTTTAACATTTAAATAATGACATTTATACGAGTATATTTTGAATGCGTTTTTATAAGATATAAATATTATTATTATAATTATTATTATGTTTATCCTTTATTTAAAACTTTCTTTATGAAATTATATTGTAGTTGAAAGCTGGCAGGAAAATGGGGCCAGACATATAAAGCAAAAATCTACCATGCCCTCACAAAATCATCATTTTTCTTCACTTGCTAGCAAGAGACAAACTTCAAGAAACCCTCAAAGAATATGCCAACTAGACCACACTCTTCTTTTCTTACGTGAGAATGAGACATAACAACCACCAATTTTCTTCAAGATAATTGCACCAAGTTTATCTTCACTTTATAAGTTGACTTTATTTTAGACACAGAAGTTGACATTTTTTTACAGAAAAGTTGACTTCATAAGAGTAAAATGGTGAGAATATATAACACTTAGTTAAAAATTTAGATAATTCATTTTCCAACACTCTTTAATATTGGTTAAAATTGATTCAAATTTACAGAATAGGGAATTTCAATCTTTATTTAATAAGCCCTATTTGAGATTTTGTAAATTTTGAAATATTTCAATGAATAAGAAAAGGTGTTAAAAAAGTGTCTTTGTTGCTAAATATGGAAGAGGTTGACAAATTACAACACAATGGCTGGCAACAAATAATCTCATCACAAATGATAATTTTATTTTACTATCTTAAGTTGAAAAATAGATTAAACTTTCTCAGACAGAAATCATGGAACTCTTGACACAACCATTTCTATAAACTTTGTGTGCTTTTGAAACTATTATATTTTTAAGAATTTTTTCAAGAGTAGTTTATGAACACTTACTATATGAAATTAGAGTCATGAAAAAGTGGAAAAATGTGTTGGTGACTTCATTTTAGAATCTCTTTGTAGACTTCTCCATAAACACAAATACAATAAAAATAAAAATTAACATCTCTTAATTAAAATGAATTTCTCCACAAGTTAAAATAAATGCAATTCATTTTTCTCTTTTACTTTTCATATATTAATGGAAAAACTCTTCCCAATTGATCCGTAGTCAACCTTAATACTTAACATAATTATAACCTTTTGGATTATACCCTTTTAGATCAATGTTTGAAATTTTCACATCGGTGGAAGAAGTGTTGGAAAGTTCCACAGTGTCTTAGTTCTTGAAAGCTATGTCTTCTAGACAACTTTGGTTAATGCTTGAAGAGCAGACGGAAAATGCCAAATGAAGTAGAATCACGCAGTAGAATATTTTCATGGCTAGAAATGTTTGGACTCTTTTACAAGAAAACTAGAGAAAGAGATAAATTGCACCCATAACAAAATTTAAAGGGGCAAAATAGCAATACCATGCTATAAACTATCCCACCAGAAAATTCCCTAGTCTTATTCTATATTATAGTTTTGACTAGGACTGCATTACAATTTCATCAAAATTCCAATTTCTTACTCGGTCCCTTGTCACTGCACGGCTTCTGACAAGCCTCGGCGTGCCGCCAGGTATCAAGTTGTTGCTTGAACCAGCAGGTTGTGGTGTGACTTTGGAAGATGATGTTGGTGCAAGAAAAGAGTGTACTGCAGAGGGTGGAAGAGACAGTTTCCTGGTTAAGCAGGTTGCAACAGCATGGCATCTTCCTTCATTTTCTGCACTTGAAACAGAGTAGCTCCTGAAAGAGTGTGATGGTGATGGACTATCCACACTATGGCACACAAGACATGCCAGACTCATTGTGACTCTTGCAACCTTCATTAACAAGTTGTGTCAGAAGTAAGATTTGAATGAAACAAAGGTCACAATCAAACATTTTACTAAGCATCCATTCTCATATTAAACTAATTCCAGGATATAGCATGAGGGATTCAGCTCAACTTTGAACCATCTATCTTGTTATCAGACACCAAAGAAGCACCAAATAATGAAGTTTCCTTACACCGAAATTCCCTATGAGCAAATTGTTAACTAGGTTAGGTGTTGGACACCTAATCCTAAGTGAAAACAGACCAAACAACAAACCTCAGACACTATAATCTTAGAAGCATACTACTGTGATTATTGCAAAATCCATCACATTACTTCACCTGTCATCACTTAATACCTATATGTCTTCCATGTAAAGCAAGTATGAGTTTATGATGTTTAAACCATAAGATACAGCCTTTAGAACATTCTAATAATGCACTATGTGAGTAAGAAATATTTGATCAAATCGATCAAAACTTTAGCACTTCATTCTGAAAAGAATGCAGTATGTGAGTAAGAAATATTTTATCTTCTCAACATATTTCTCAGACCATTAAGGAAAATGAAGCATAAAATATGATGATTATCAACATCAGAATGCTTTTCCCTTACAGAATCACATATATGATTATGTCACAGGGCACACTTGGGCCCTCATGTCTGGATCTGAGTAAAACATTTAGAAATTTATTAATCTTTTCCAAACCCAACACTCACTTTCCACTGCCAGAAACTAGAAGACTGTCAATACAAGATGAAAAATCATGTACTCTGATTATTCTATGCTTTTTTCTCACAAGGTCAGGTTTTCACAGTTTCAACAATATTTTCCTCTTCTGCAGCACATCCACTGGGAGAATTCAGACACTTTCAATGTTAAACAACAGAAAACCTCCGATGCAGAAAAATATAGGTCGCATTCAATGAGGTTGGGACAGTTAAAAAGATGTCAGGAGCAAGAGGAGGAAGTTGGAAGAAAAGTGACAACCAAAAGGTTCATGATTCTCAAAGGTTTCTGAAAAGGGGTCAAGCTCAAAGGTTGATGAGCCAAAAATTAGCTTAATGATTGATGACCAAGTTTGTAGGCTACTCATACTTACATGCAAAAATTTTAAATAAGATAACAAGCCCACACTCAAGCAGACTAGGAAATATGTCATATACTCATATATATATAGTAAAAAATAGATCTAAATCACACCTTTACTTTTCTACCACTACATTCATAACAACATCAATTACACCATAATTCTTGCTTTTTTAAATGTAAACAAAGCCATCAATTTATTTTAGCCTTTATTTTGCCATTCCTATTCCTCTTCCCACACTTTTACTTTTTGGGGTAGGATTGAACACATGGTTATCCTTGAGTAAAAAGGTAAGGATTAATCTTTTGAAGTATTGAGATCCATTTAAGAGATGAACATTTCTTAACACTGTTCGTGATCACATGCTCAAGGAACAAAGTTATTGGCAAATCATGTCACACCACCATGATTCCTACAATTTTACTTGCTCCACACCCTAGCTCTGATTTACATTTCTAAGACTTCACATTCCCAAAAGCCCCAACATCCTCAAAACACAAAACATAAACCCCAAAACAAGGTTTCAAAATGACCACTTGAACTGCATCTACTTCGAAAGAAAAAAAATACAAACGGAAATGCAATTCTGACTACCCAAATCATTAACCGACAATGAAAGCACCGACCCACAAACATAACATCACACAAGCACCAACCACAGACCCCCACAACGGGATCTGAACAGAAAGTATTGAAATTGAGAAGAATTCACAAAAGGGTGTCAGTTGAATCCACAAGTTACGCAAGTAAACTAAAAATGGAGAAAAGAAAAGATGGAATAGGAAAAAGTTGAATTGAGAAAAAAACCTCGTATCTGTGTCCCTCTGGTGCTTACGATTTGGGGAAAAATAGGTGAAGGATGCAGTGCAGAGAAGACTGAGAGAAAGAGAGAGAAAGAGAGAATGGTGCGAGAAGATTCGATGAGGAGCGCACAGAAGAGAGTGTGAAGAACTACACGTGTAGTAAATTCCCAACAACTACGTAACTACAGATAAATAAGGTCACTGTGTTCTGCTTTGTTTAAGATAAAATAAATTATCACATCAGTTACTTCACATTCATCCATATCTGTTATTATAAAAAGTAGTGAAAACTTATTATGGAATTAATTATAATTCATTCATTCATTAATAAGTAATTAGCTTTTGTAAAACTGATAAAAAATTTAGTTTTGTAAAATTTAGTACCACTGATCCTTCACTAAGATGGTGATTCGTTCCCTTTATTACTCTATGCTGGGAGATTCTTTCCCTTTAGTTAGTGATCTTAAATTAAAATTTTATTAAATGCTTGAAAGAACCTTTTTTAATAATTTATTTCAATCAAACATAACTGTCTTCAATGAAAAAATGGATATAATCTGCATAAAAAATAAATGGAGATTTTCTTAAATGGAGTTCATGCATCATCTAATTTTAAATAGACCTAATTCTGATTTTAATTAGTATATTATTAATAAGGAACATTTATGATTATATATATATATGTGTGTGTGCATGTATATTAAAATTATATATACATATAGGAATAAATTAATAAATTTAACCATATATTTCACAAACATTTACTTATTTTTATATTAAAGCCATGTTTTAATAAAAAGTATAAACCTTTTATATAAAAAAAAATTCTTCCATTTTTATAAAAATGATTCAATTTATGTATTAAAAAAATCATTTTTAATTTTCAAAATTTTACTTTATTTAAATTTTAGCCGATATTTTAATTTTAAATAAAATAAGTAATTAAAAAAAGTTTTCAAATTGGATTGGACTGGTCAATTCAATTGGAACCATTCCCTTATTCTGTTTGGTATTGGTGTAAAATTAATTTGGTTACAATAAACCTGATATCAAAAGGGTAAATCGTATGAAATTGGTAAAAAATTAGTTGAATAACTTATCTGATCTCAAAACATTAAATACAAGTGTCATTTTATTAAAAATATAAAAAAGAATAAGTATTATCTATTGTAGATTGAAGAGGATATACCTGTCATCAAATAGAGATAAGTTAAAAGATTCTCTAAACATTCATTTTATTGAGAAAAAAAAGTGAGTTGAAGATGTTTTCCTAAAGTGTAGAGATAATTAAGAAGAATTCATTCTTGGAACGACCGTTCAACCAGGAATGGATCTTTAGATGGTGGCAACCATTCTTAACCAGGGTGACCTTATTGTGTCGAAAATTTCACCAAAGAGTTATATAGGATGAATTGGATAATTTTCGGCTAGATAAGTTCTGTGTTTGTAAAAGTAAATGTACCTGCCATGTGTTTACTGTAATAGCTCAAAGGAAATGAAAGGATCAAGTCATGCAGTTGCTCAGAGGGCTAAATGATCAGTATAGCAACATCAAATCACATGTTCTTCTACAAAGTTGTCTCAAACTTTTAAATCAATCTGCTTGGATTTTAGATTCTGGAGTGTGTATCTATTTAATTGCCTTTTCTTTTTACAAACATATTAAACAAATTCTTGTAAAGCTACCAAATGGAGAATATGTCATTACAAACATTTCTGGAATAGTGATTTTTAGTCCAAAGTTATATTTTACAGATGTCTTATATATACCTTAATTTTATTTCAATCTCATCCATTTCTAAACTCATCGCTTCATTTCATTATGAACTGATTTTCTTCTCTCTGATGTTTGCATTATACAGGACATTAACAATAAAGAGAAGAATGGTTCAATTGATCTCCTTGCTGGCTTATACGTTAATTTGTGATTTTACCAAACATTTCTCCTACGCTCACTATGCCTTTTTTGTTTCCAATTGTGCTGACAATAACACAACCCTTTGGTATTACCGGATGGGCCATCCCTCTTACCAGAGATTAGCTGCTTTGAAAAACAAATAGTGATAATCATCCTTCTATTTATGATACTTGCCATCGGGCAAAAAAATTGCCCTTTTCATCTATCATTTCTCATACTGATCATTGTTTTGAATTGCTTCATATGGATACATGGGGACCATGTTCTATTGTTTATATGCGTGGTTACAAATACTTTTTAACCATTGTAGACAATTTCTCCCGTTTTACTTGGCTCATATCTATGCAAAATAAATCTAATGCTCAGGCTAATATTACCGATTTGGTTATATATGCTGAAAACCATTTTCAAACAACCATTAAAAACATTAGCCCTAATAGGTGTTGAGTTTGCTAGAAAGACTTTTTCTCTATCATAGGTATGATACACCAAACCACTTGCATAGAGACACTTGAAAACAATGGCTTCATAGAGCGCAAACATCAGCATCTTTTGAAACTTACCCATGCCCTATTATTTCAGTCTAACCTACTTGGTATCTTTTGGTATTTTGCTGTTCAACATGCTACATTTTTAATCAACTTCAATTCTACACCCTTATTAAACAACATTAGTCCATACGAGAAACTTTATGGTCATCTTTGTGATTTAACCAATCTTTGCGTGTTTGGATGTTTGTTATTATAATATTTTCACTGCAAGTAAAAAAAGGCTTGACAATCGTGCTATACCTAGTGTGTTTTTTGGTTTAAAACCTCGTACCAAAGGCTACATATGTTTCTTAACTTACAAAATCATAAGATAGATGTTTCAAGAAATGTGGTCTTCTATGAAAATCAATTTCCTTATCTGCAAAAGGCTAGGACCACATAATATAATCTCTATTGTGATGATATTCTTTGTTGTTGGACATCACATCCCTGAAGACACTAATAATGATATCTTTGATGTTGACAATAATTATCATGAGATGAATATTGTAGATCCCACTACTGATACAACAAAAGACCCAAATCTCCCTCTTCAAACCTAGAAGTTCCACTCATGAGAGAAAATCTCTTAGCTACCTTCTGGGTTTCCACACTCCAGGTTTGACCAACACTACTATAACATCCAAATATCCAATAACATCTTATTTGTCTTATTGCTTCTTATCTCCTAACTACAAACACATTATTCTCTTTATCTCTGCTACCACTGAGCCATGATCCTATACAGAGGCGTCCAAAAACACCAACTGCAAAAAGCTATGCAAGAGGAATCGCTGCTCTTGAAGGCTAATAACTCATGGACAATCATTCTCTTCCCCTTGGAAATATTGTGCTTGACTGCAATCTTTATGAAGAGGTTTATATGAAAATCCCTCCGGGGCTATCAACTTCTCACACTCAATCTGTGTGTAAGCTTCAACAATCTATGTATGACCTTAAACAAGCAGGTCGACAAACTTACGCCAAGTTATCTACTTTCCTTTTTAATCATAACTATAAATGCTCCTTTGGTGACCATTCTCTCTTCTTGAAACATGATGGACACGTCCTCAGTGCCTTACTCATCTACGTTGACACACCATTCTCACCGAAAATCATCTTGAGGAAATTCAATCTATCACAAAGCTTCTTGATCAACACTTTCATATAAAAAACTTACGTGATCTCACCTATTTTCTTGGCAAGGTTGCATGTAATACTACTAGCATTCACCTCTACCAAAGAAAATACACCTTGGATCTTTTGCCGAAACTGGCATGACAGATTGTGCTGGTTCACTCCAAACTCTTTCAGCAGAAGATGATGTTCCTCTTTTAGAATCTGATTCATCTTCTTATCGACACCTTATCGGACTACTTATCTATCTCACCAACACCTTCCAGATCTTGCCTTGCTGTCAACCACCTCAGACAGTTTGTCGCATATCCTACCACTGTGCATCAACAAGCCACCTTTCATATTCTTCGCTAGGAATCCTTGGACAAGGTATTTTCCTCTACAACACCAACATTCCTCAGCTTAAGTTTACGACGATTGTGATTAGGCCACTTGTCCCACAACTCGAAAGTCCATCAATGGCTTTTCTTTCTACCTTGGCAACTATATTATCTCATGGAAGTCAAACAAACAACAAACCATCTCTAAAAGTTCCTTAGAAGCTTAATACTGAGCCTTAGCCTCCATCACTTGTGAAGTTCAATAGATTACATACCTTTTGCAAGATACTCACATCAGCTATATCTCGCCTGCTCTCTTATACTGTGATAACTAATCAAATTCAGATCGCCTCAAACCAAGTCTTCCACGAAAGCACGAACCATATTTAAATTGATTGCCACATAGTTCGTGACAAACTCAATGTTGGTTACCCAAGCTTCTCTCTATTTCTTCCTCTTTTCAAGCTACTGACATCTTCACTAATCGCTTGCCCCTGTCATCTTCAAGAACTGCACTCCAAGTTAGAAATGAGAAGCATTTATTCCCAACATGAGGGGGATTGGTAAACATATATTTGGCTGTGTTTGATTTCCTTTCGTTTTTAGGTTGACCGCGTGTACTTAGCATGTGTCTTCTTTAGGCTAAGCTGTTTTTGTCACCACATGCCCCTTTACTATATGTATTTCCCACCTTCATTTGTCACAAATACTATAGAGATAAAATTTTCAAAATATCAGAATAGTTATATTAAAATTTTTAAAGCATACATACGACATAAAAAAATAATAAGAAAATGTTACGTGATAAAACTAAGTTTTATAATATGA